TTTGTGAAGTTTCAGCTCAGATAATTTATTATGCCATGTTGTAAATGGTCGTTTTTGAGTGGAAAAACATGCTGTTTTCGTGTTTGTACTGTATCTTTAAATGCAAATGAGCTGCTGCGCCATCCCGCTTTCCAGAAGAGGGCGGAGCCTGTAAAGCTTGTGCCTCCATACTCTGGTTGTTTCTCAGGCCACTCGCCGCCATCTTGGCAATGCCTCCGGGACTTAATTTTATATTATTTTGGACTTAATAAGGCCAGGCTCCTATCTAAATGAATGGGCAGAGAGTCAGAACTGCACTTTTACTGCCGGGACATAAAAATTGCATGTATAGAAACAGCAGTAAAATATAATAAAAATCACTGAAAAACTTTGATGACTTTGCCCCAAAATAAGGTTTAAAACGCCGTTTTCCCGCAGGTTATACTTTTACTGCGCAAGGGTTCTCTCGCTCTCTTGCTCGCTCGCTCTAGATTCTGGGAGATTTTAACTAATTTGCGCGCATCAGCAAGCCTCTATAAATCTGCGGGAGACACCCGGCACTTCTGGGAGACTTGGGAATGCGTGATATTTACACAAAGCACATATAAACTGCATATCAAATCTGCCACCTTTTCAAACAGTTACATATTTAAATGTTTCCCAGCTTGACCGTTAAAAGCAGACGATTGGCTGTCCAGCGAGAGGGGCGGGGCATTTGCATACAACCGCCATCTTTGGTGTTACATGTTTTCCCTGTACATTTGTAGGCCTATTAAGGATTGAGGAAGTGGTATGTCTCTATATAAATAGTCTCTGTTGTTTCTCAGGCCACGTTTACACAAAGCCGGGTATTTAGCAAAACGAATATTTTCCCCCTCTCCGTTTTCAAAAATAACATCGTTCACACACCCGTATAAATATACGCCATCGAGCGCCATCATAACTATGCCAAACCTATTGGCGGCATTGTAGGGGTTAAGGAAAGCCATGCAAGCCAATCAGAATCCTCAGAATCTACAAGAGAGAACCTAAAACGCAGTTTCTCCCAGTTTACGGCAAGTTCGGCAACACATAACCGGCATTTTCAGAAATCTCCACTTTGCCTGGAGGTTTCAGAAATAATCGTTTTCTGTGATAAAAACAGCGTTTTCGTGTAAATGAGAGGGCAAAATTGCAGAGAAATATCTGCATTTTCCCATAGGCACCGTACACGAGAACGCTCGCGGGTGATAATGTACAAATATTTTATTGGATGTGCCTTTCGTTTACACGGCGACAGCGTTTTTGAGCCTTAAAAACGCAAAAAAGTGAAAGTCAAGTTATTTACTTGAATTATTTGAATTATATATTAAATATATATTTAGTAGTTTTATTTTAAAAAACATTTAAACCTGGTTAATAACCACGGCCCTCGTTGCTTTATAAGAGAAACAGTTTAACCAGCTACACAAGCTCCGACTGGGGTCAGAACAGCTGTAAATGCGCTAAATGTTTCATGCATGTTGTGAAACCACAAAAGGCACTTTCTTAACCTGTGAGCTGTGTGTGGTTGCCATGGAAACCTGTGAGCTGAGAGTCCTGGGTGGGGTTTTGTGGACTATGGTCTTTTCAGAATCAGATAAACCAAGCTTTTATCTTGCTACACCCACTCAGAGTCAGAGATGGAGAAGGTAACCTGCTTCATTCTGCTCTCAACGTCCTTGAGTTGTATGTCTTTTTCTCTCTGGCATGCTGTCAGCGTGCCAGTCTGGGCTGACCCTGGGTTTTTTATTTCACTTGTTGCATTGTTTGAGTAAATTTGTGGACTGAATATGGTGCACTTCTGTCGAAAAACACCATTGCACCACACCATCGCATTTTATTTTAAACGCAATTATAAGAAACCGTAGGAAATGTATGCTGTTATTCTCAGAAATCTCTTCCCCTTTCAATTCAAGTCCATTTTCCCATAATATGGCTGCACATTTAAATGAAATAAAACTGATGTGACTTATTAGTGACTTAGCTGCTGTTAACAAAACAGAAGCTTTATGGGCTTACAGTTCTACTGTAAAATAAAATAATTATTATTATGGTCAATACTATTAAAATTGTCATGAAATGGAAGCTGTGATAGCATTTTATGCCCTATTGTGATGTACACTGTAAATAATTTTTAAGTTAAAATAAGTATAAGCTGGTTGCCTTAAAATTATAAGTTAATTCAAATAATATAAAAATTGAGTTAATATACAATGAAGATTTGATTTGGTTTAATCAATAGAAGCTAAAAAATTATCTGAACCACATAAATTGTTTAGGTTGATTTGACAAAAGAAAAATATTTTGTGATAAATCATTAAATGCATTTTTTACCGTGTATATCCAAGTGAAATGGCTTATCAAACTAGAAAACATGGGTGGGATTTTTGGACTTTTGTGGGACTTTTTGGCTTTTGGGAATTGGTTGGATCATTGACGTTTGCTATTGCTGTGATATCATATGAGTAAGATGTAAGAATACTGCGGAAGATTTCCAGTGAAAAGCGTTTTATATTCCATATTTAAAAGTGAACAATTTTGCGTGCATGGGCCATTTTTTTTTATCATTAACATACACACTGCTAAACATTTTGTTTGTGTTCTGCAGGGAATCTATAAAGTTTAATAGTCTAATAACCACAAAATAACCATCTCTTTGTGACAATTTAAAATAAAGGAGTGGATCAATCTTCACACGTGTGTAAATCTATAAATAGTGCAGGGGTGTAAACACTCATCAGGCGAAGAGCATTGTGAGAACGAGAGAGAGCTACATCCAGAATCATCACTCTCAGATTTGAATCTCAGCAAGTTTGCAGCAGGTGTTTCTGGGTAATCATGCTGTACTTTGGTCTCTGTTTTCTCTGCAGGTGGGTGATCTGGCAAACAGGTGCTCAAAAACACAGCTGGATGGGGACGGTCCACTCAGCTTGTGTGTGTGAGATCACATTGCAGTCATGTGGGAGTGTCACGCATACACCCACACAGCAATTTAGCAGGTGCTATATGTTTTAATACAGCGTGAATGGGTCAGAGCTCTATAGGATTGAACTAATATGACAGTTTAATTATGACCATGAGCCAACCGCTGTGGACACATGATGGACAGAACCCTTTCACCTCTCCTTTACGACAACATATATCCAGACAACATTCACTTTCACTTAAACAAGCTCATCTGATTAAGATCCCACACATGCGACACCGTAAAGAATCCTAGTGAAAACAGATCACAGCAATAAGACTCAAATATAAAGGACATATATTTTTTTGTGGTTGCTAAGTGACACAGAAATTGGCTCGTAGCCTTCAGGTGAATGGTCTTCTCTCATATACCAAGACAGAAATGTATTTGTTAAGTTTTTATTTCACCTGTTGTGTTGGGGAACATGCTGGAAACATTGTTATGTTTTTGGGATCTCAATCCAAAATGTTAAAAGATTTTAGAATCCATTATCATTTGTTTTTATTGTTTGGTTTCTTGCTTGTTCAATTATTCTATCCAGTGGCTAATAACTATTTACCAGTTTTAATAACTGGATTGTACAATCAGATCTACAGCACCAAAAGCTACCGGGCAAATACTAGATCTCCAGATATTAGATGCTTTTATGAAAGCCAATGTCATGTGCCTTGAAGATGCAATTCGAGAGAAACAGTGAGAATGGCTCGTATTGAGTTTGTGTACGTGCGGTTTTCAGATCTCGAAGTCTAATCAGTGAGTGAATTGAAGTGCCACAGGGTTGTAACATAACACTAGTGAATGGTTGCATCACTCATATGAGCCTGTTTAAAAGACATGTTTGGAATGTGTGTTTTCCATACAATACTAGAAATCGGACATCTGTAGGCTGGGCGATAGTCACATTCAAATATCTGTGCCATTAAACCAAGTGTGTTATGATTCAGGTAGCTAACTATAAATATGTTCACAGTGTACAAACTGGCTTGTTGCTCCGCTAAGATAGTTGGCCAGAAAGAGAAAACTACAGAGGACCTAAAGGGAAAAAAAATATGACATGGTGGGAAAATTATTGGCCACTGCAAACTTTGCGTTCATTCGCAAAGAGCTCAAAAGGTTTTGCGTGCATCGAGCGAACACAAAGTTTCTTGGGGGAATGCAAAAAATTCACAACACCCGTCTCATATTGGCTGCATCCGAAAACTTAAAAATGCTGTCTTCGAAGGACGCGTTCCAAGGCATTAAGGCACATCCCGATTCAATGTTAGCTTAAGATAACTTAATCTAATCGATTTCTGAAGGCTGCATGATTTATCCTTTGCTGCCTTTGAAATCCCACAATCCTGTGCGTTCCATTTGATGACGGTAGTTGAGCTAGCAAAATAAAGACGGTGTCTAAAAGTTACAATAGAATTTGTACAATAGAACACTCTTAGAAGAAAAGTTTCTATATAGAATCTTAAAAGGTTCTATTAGCGCTACGTATTTGGAACCCCTAAAAGGTTCTATACACTCTTAAAAAAGGGTTTATAGAACCCTGGGGTTCCATACTTGGCCAATAGAACCTTTTAGCATAAAAATGGTTCTATTTAGAACCAATTTGGAGTTCCAAATACGTAAACCTTTTAAGGTTCTATATAGAACCTTTTCTTCTAAGATTCTGAGACTAGTTTTGTTTTGAGGCTTCTTTTTATCTCATCCAACCAGCAATTCTGACAAAGTGTTTTGTTTGAACATCATAAAAAGGTTGCCCTTTTGCAATAGCACATGACATACATTCACCTGTACATACACATGCCCACACCCACACGTACAGTAACCACGCGGGTTTGAAGAAGGCACACGAATAAACATCAGCACGTATCACTGACTCCGATCAGTGAATGCATATATGCTTAGCGCTCACGTAAATGGGCGAGTGAGTTTAACAGTGAATGAGAGAGAGAGACTAAAATCAAGCACAGTTTAGCAGTGGGAAGGGTCAGAGTGTGAGCGGCAGGGGAGAGCGAGAGAGAGAGAGAGACATCTCCCATCTGTGTGTTTATTCTCTTTACAGTGTAAGAAAGGCAGGCAACAGAGAAACAGGCCTGAATGATGAGCTCAAGAGGGATTTTTACAGATGGGATGCGGTCCCTGCAGGAGATGCCAACCCTGTGACTTTCTTTTCTAATGATCCTCTCTGATCTTTGACGTTCCCTGCTTTCCCAGTACGCTTTCCCACCTGAGGAGTGTGTTTCCAGAGTTTCTCTCCTCTCGCAGACGGACAGAGTAAACTAAAGATGTCAGAGCTGAGCTCCAAAAAACAAGGATTTAAAAAATGCCGGAGTGCCACTTTCAGCATCGATGGCTACAGCTTCATCATTGGTAAGAACAGTTGATCAGGTATGTGTGTGTGGGTGTGTGTGTGTGTTTCGATGACCAGCACTGATTTTTTTTGTCTGTGTGAGCGAGCATGGAGCTGCTACAAGTGCCTTTACCATAAATTAGCCCATTTAGTTTGAGAGAACTCATTTTTTTTAGGTCCACGTCAAACAGATGTCAATCCAACAGAACTTTACATCGTTTATGTTTAATGGTCGCAGAGATCTCAATGCTGTATATGAATAATAAAAATCAATCAATAAAATAAAAATAATTATAATTATTATGGTTGTTAAATTGTTTTTATGAATAATAATTTCTTTCTTAATAATAATAATAAACATATAAATATGAGCTTAAGAATAGAAATTATTATTATTGTTAATTCATAATAACAGTAGTCATCCTTATTATTGTTATACATTCTTTCTTAATAATAATTTATAAAAATATTACATTCTTAACAATAATAATTATTATTATTAATAATAAACAAAAATCATCATCATTTAAATTGTATTATTAATGTTGTTGTAATTTTTAATTAATTTAATATCTGCAAAGAAATATAATATTGATGCTTTTATTTTTAATTAAAAAGTTTCAGAACAATGACTGCTATCCAGTATAGTAATGTTGCGTCTGTTTTGGGTTAGTTTGAGCAAAAACACATTGTAGAAAATGCAATAAAAAAACACAAATAGACCAATCAAAACCTTAGCATGTGAAATCCATGGCATTTAATCATGTAATATTTTTTAAATAAATTATTTTTAAATGAAGAACATTTGAAGCATGTTAACAAGATTAAGTAACTACCTGATACGTCAGTATTTAGTATGTTTTGAGCTATTAAAAGGGGTCATGGTCCATGTCTCTCAGACATGAGGGTGTAGTTACGGTGGTGTTTTTTATATATGTGAAGGTTTCAGAAAAGGCTTCAGAGAGATGTCTCAAGAAAACGCCATCTTAACCCATGCACAAAGGTTTGGTAAATTGGTTGAAGACAGTTTGAGTTTGCATGCAAATTCCCTGTCTTCTGTTCTGTCATAGTAACAAGAAAGCAACAAAGTGATTGTGTCTTACAATCAGTCTCTGGGTGTCTCTGAGTCGCCTGAGTACAATTAGATTACATAAGAAACAACTTTTTTTTTGGCACAGAATGATTCACAATGCTCTGTGTCGTTCAAAATGCCTGAATTGGTTCAGTGCCCTGTCAGATGGTGATGGTTACGATATCAGGACGTTGATTTTCTGACGGGGTAAGCTGATTTAGGCACAGAACAAAGAGAGCGTGAACAGCAGACATGACAGTTGTGGTGGCAGAACATCGGATGGTGGTAATATTATACTCCTAAAAGGTCATGGGCTTATGTAACAGACCACAATCAGGAGATGAAGAAATGGAGAATCCACAGCGGTGCACAAATTGAAGGCATCAGGTTAAAAAAAAGTGATCATTTGGAGTCCTTTTGTGACTTCTGTTTGATTGGATGAATTCTCACGGGAGCCTGTGTTTATCATTAAAGCAAAGCCCACACAAACAGTCACGCTTTTAAAACGCACAGTTTTCTCCAGTGGATCTCCCATGCTGCCTTTGCGATTACCGTCTCCATGGTCACCGGCGGAGGCAGGATGTGATGTCACGACCTAGTGATTCTTGCCTCTGCCTGACAATCAACCCCAACCCTTCCCGTCCCCAGAGCTGTGTGTCTGTGTGTGTGTGTGTGTGTGTGTGTGTGCTTGGGCAGGATGGCCAATGGGACCTCATTAAAGCACCTGTGGAGGCGTCAGTAAGGCTCCTGGGTCAGGTGTGGAGCCCTTATGGGAGACCCCAAATCTGTATGTTAATGATGTTAATATTATTATTAATATTATTATTATACAATATATATATATATATACACTCTAAAATAAAATTGGTTTAACCCAATTTTGGGTCAAATATGGACAAACTCAAACATTGGGTTAAAAATGTAAATTAAAAATGTAACTCAATGGCTGGGTTTGTCCATATTTTGGGTTAAAACAATCCAGCATTTTTTACTAAATAATATATAATACTAATTATAAAATAAATAATAATTATAGTTGTTGTTGTTATTATTAATATTATAATATAAATATAATATAAATACATAATTTTCATAATTATATAATAATAATTTATTAGTGGCAGTAGAGTTGTTGTTGTTAATATAATAAAAAATATTATATATATATATATTTACAAGCTTGATAAAAATGATCATTCTAGAAGAAAATTTCAAATGGCACTTAGAGGCTTTTGCATCTGAACTCTTCATATATATATATTTATATATATATATTTACAATATATATATATATATGTGTGTGTTACTAAATAATATATGGAAAAATATTATATATAATTACTAAATAATATTATTAAAAAGTTAAAATAATTAAAATTATTAAAATATTATTATATATAATTAAAAAGTAATATTATTACTAAATAATATATGGAAAAATATTATATATATATATATATATATATATATATATATATATATAATATTTTTCCATATATTATTTAGTAACACACACATATATATATATATTGTAAATATATATATATAAATATATATATATGAAGAGTTCAGATGCAAAAGCCTCTAAGTGCCATTTGAAATTTTCTTCTAGAATGATCATTTTTATCAAGCTTGTAAATTTAATTTCAGTGATTTCACTTAAATGGCAATGATAATTACCTATGAATTGTTATTTAAGTGAAATTACTGAACTTAAATATACAAGTTTGATAAAAATCATCATTAAAGAAGAAAATTTCAAATGGCATTTAGAGGCTTTTGCATCTGAACTCTTCATATATATATAATTATACAAGTAATATTATAATAATTATTATTTACAATTACATATGATATATAAATAATATATAAATGTTTTACTTTATATTAACAATAAAAATTAAAAAACAATATGCAACAATAAGAACTCTATACAATACACACACATATAGGCTATATATATACACACACACACACACACACACACATACAAATGCAGACTCATAGATATGGAGATCCAAGGCATTAAATGGAGAAAGGGGTCTTTGGTTACCTGAGGGGAGGTGTGGGTGATGGCGTGCGCCCCTCGCTGGAGGCCTTTCTGTCGTCAGCACATTAGAGGAGTCGTGTGAGCTGCCCAGGGGGAGTCATTATCTCTAATAAAGAGTCCTTCCTCTTCTCCTGAGTACTGACTCGCTGCATGGACAAACTCCCTGTGCTAAAGACTTCTCTCTGATTTCCCTCTCATTACCTCTGTCCCCCCGCAGACCGGCAGTCCCCACTTAACAACCTCTCTGTCTTTCTCATTCTCCAGCCCTTTTATTCACCTGTGGGATTCTCAGTGTTTCGTGATTTTACTGTCTTTCGTTTCGTTAAATTGCTATTTTTGTTTACTTTTACTATTACTATTAACAGGCTGTTATCGTTAACACATAATAGCCTACTATTTAAACATTTTTGTAAATTCAGTACATTTTATCTGAAATAATAATAATAAAAAATATGAATTAGAAAACGTAAACTAAATGAAAATTAGAAATATTGCATTGGCAACAAATTGAAATAACTAGATGAAAAAGCAATTATTTCACATGCACTTATGATATTGGCTATTCATTGGAATGGGTTCTATTTCAAATAACATTTATTCAATAATATATAGCATAATTTTATTGGGAGTTAAGTTTATACAAGAAATCTTAAATTTCATGTATTTAAAATATAACTATAGCATATTATTATGGTAGCCTACCTACAGAAAAGTTTAATCTAAATTAAGATCCTTTTTTATGCATGCTATACACTGTAAAACATTATATGATCAATAAGTTATGACAACAACATAATGTTTTTACATTGTTTTAACTCGTCAAAATAAGTAGGCTAAATCTTTTTGTAATATATAAGTTTAATAAGTATTTTTAAAGTCAGTTTAATGTAATTTAAGTTGAAATTACTCAAAAATTGAAGGCAGCAACTTTTTTTCAGTTTGATTTCTGAATCTGAGTGATTCACAAAAGCATCGGTTTCAATGAATCATTCAAAACAACGATTCGCTAACGTTATGAATCAATGCGCCACTTTTCCGCAGTTTCAGTGACTCGTAGCTGCTCATTTTCTGGATGCCTGCAACCTTTTGTTATTGTATGAGTTATTAGTTTGTCAAACCCTCTTGACTTGTGTATAGTAAACGGTGCTTCCAGCGGTCGTGTAATTAGTTCAGTGCAGTATGGTTGTGTGGCCTGCGAGAGGAGCTGTCCGTTCAGTTTAAACAGCAGCACTTTTGTGTAAACAACACAGCTGCGTGTTGTCTTTGACCTCATGTGGTTTCTTTTACTCATCCTTCCTGAGGCCGTTTTATTGCTCAGAATCATTGAAGCCTCGACGGATTTTAACAGGGAACTTTTTCCCAGCAGAAATTCTTAAAGTAAACACATAAAAACCACATGTCTAATGTCCCCTCAGCAGCCGATAGCGTTTAAACCAGAGCAGAATTTATGTCTGCATTTATTGAAAATGTTGGAGGAGGACTGTGGGATTTTCAATGTCACACACATATCTGTGACCTTGAATTCCTCTTGACTATAAATCATCGTTTCTTGCCTAAAACAGCATAAAACGGTTTTCTCTCTTCTGTTTTGTCCAGAGGACAGCCATTTTCATAAGTTAAGTATCAACTATTTTCAGATGTGTATTATAAAATAAGAGGTGACAGTAACGTTACAGCGATAAATTGAATGTGGTCGGCATAGTTATCTAATTTGTGCGTTAATGCTAATGGTAAATTTTGTGTATATATATTTTACTGCATTATATCTCAGATAAACTGTTGAGAAGCAGCAGACTACAAAATTTAAGTTAGCTATGTTTAAGAGAAATCTCCTTTATGATTTTTCTCTTTTCTCTCTTTTGACTCATTCTCATCTCCCTCTCTCACTGTGGGGTAAATACCAAATTCCTAAAATATTCCACTTTTGTATTGAGTAAATTAAAACATCTTCTACTACAGTATATCATTATCCAATTACCATATTTTTAGCATATTCATGAATGATAGGCAAATAACACTGTGAGGGAAACGATTTATGCTTCGTCAATATGCATGCTGTAATGTGCATCAGGTAAACAACATAAACAAACAACATTACTTTTCTGTTTTTAATCTGAAAATCAATCTCTGTACTTTACGTTTGTTTTCGGAAACTCTGTGAGTGTGGTTGTGGAAAACTTGAAATTTGTGGCGAGGAAAAGTGACTTCTGATGATGAGTCATCATGATTGTTGAAGAAAGGTCTACATCACTCATCTGTCTGTGTTTTGTTCTTTCCCTCCACAGTGGCAAATGAAGCGGGAGAGAGCAGCTCAAGACCTCTGGCACGCTTCGCACGTGAGTTTGTACAATCAGACACGTGATTGAAAGCTGTTGACTTCACTTTTACTTTAGAATTGTTTCCTGCACAGTGAGACAACAGGTATGAGTGTGACACAGTAAAGTTCACAGTCTTCACAATCCCACGGGTCTGTGATCATAACAGCAATGAGAGGTGTTAGAAATCATTCATGTTGTCTATGTGCCACCTGAAGGCTAGGCTAGGTATGCGTACTGCATCCTGCCATGTTTGTTCATGGAGACTCAGTTTCGGAAATATTTATTTGTCCTAATCACCAGAGGTGTCTCTATATCTATTGTAATTTATTTCTATTGTCTACCTTTCTGTCTGTCTAACTATCTGTTTGTGTCTAATACTAATATTATAATATACAATAATATTAAGTGTCTATCCATCCACCCAAAACCCATCCATCCATCCATCTATCTACAAACCCATTCATCCATCCATCATCCATCTACAAACCCCATCTATCTGCAAACCCATTCATCCATCTACAAACCCATCCATCCATCCATCCATCCATCCATCCATCCATCCATCCATCCATCCATCCATCCATCCATCCATCCATCCATCCATCCATCCATCCATCTATCTATCTATCTATCTATCTATCTATCTATCTATCTATCTATCTATCTATCTATCTATCCACTTACAAACCCAACCAACCATCCATCCATCCACTTACAAACTCAACCAACCATCCATCCATACACTTAACAAACCCCTCCATTTATCCATCAACCCATCCATCCATCTACAAACCATCCATCCATCCATCCGCAAACCCATTCATCCATCCATCTACAAACCCATCCATCCATCAATCCACTTACATACCCAACCATCCATCCATACACTTACAAACCCATCCATCCATCCATCCATCCATACACTTATAAACCCATCCATCCATCCATCCATCCATCCATCCATCCATCCATCCATCCATCCATCAATCCACTTACAAACCCAACCATCCATCCATCTACAAACCATGCATACATTCATCCGCAAACCCATTCATCCATCCGCAAACCCATTCATCCATCCATCCATCCATCTACAAACCCATCCATCCATCCATACACTTATAAACCCATCCATCCATCAATCCACTTACAAACCCAACCATCCATCCATCCATCCATCCATCCATCCATCTACAAACCATCCATCCATCCATCCGCAAACCCATTCATCCATCCATCCATCTACAAACCATCCATCCATCAATCCGCAAACCCATCCATCCATCCATCCATCCATCTACAAACCCATCCATCCATCCATCCATCCATCCATACACTTACAAACCCAACCAACCATCCATCCATCCATCAATCCACTTACAAACCCAACCAACCATCCATCAACCTATCCATCTATCTACAGTACAGACCCATCCATCCATCAAAAATACAGTAATATGAACTTCTTTGATTTTAAATTCATTTTACTTCTAAATTATTACATTCAAATTCGAATTTCAGTTCTGCCTTCTGTTCACTACCTCAATTAAAAAAATAAATTACATTTTACATTTTGCCCTCTTAATTGGTGTAGTTACAGCATCTACCAGCAGGGACTGTCTACCCAAAGTAACCAGCCAAACCATTACCTCTGGCCTACATGTTGGCAGAACAAAAAAATTACACAACATTTTCCTTCACCAATCTTTCTATCTCTCTGTCTACTTTTCACTCTGCCCGGTCTTGCATTCTGCCGTCTACACCCCTCTGAGCTTTTGATCTCTGATTGTTGCATTAGGTTCCAAGTCACAGAATGCTTTGTGGAACGCCATCACAGCAGGCATCGGGATCAAGGACAAGGACAAGCGGGGTATCCTGATTGACCCGCGGAGTCCAGAGGAGATTCTAGCTGATGACCTGCCCTCTGTCGACAGTCCCGATGCCATGGAGAAGACCGCCATAAGGTTTGGAGAGAATCACACACCTCACTAAAACCTCTGAGTGAATCGATCTGTGCTGATATCTGCTCTCGATCAATCAGTCCAATCCACTTCCTTAACCAGGTCTAAAAGCACTGTAGGGTCAAACTGGTGAATGGACATGCTCAAATAGCAGGAATTATACAGTGATTATGCCGCATAAAGTGCTTTGCGTGTGCGTTTTCTGCTTATAAGCACAGCTGGCAGGCCTATATAGGATTATTGATTTGTTTAGGAGCTGTGGTGTCAAACCATCACTTCTGTCTCAGATCACAGCAGGCATTCCAGTAGTAAAAGACTACAGCCTTAAAAATGAAGGTTCCAGCTAGATCACAATGAAAGAATATACTAAAGAATATCCTGACTGTGTTTAAAAAAGCATCCTAGAAATGAATTGTGAAATTTTGAAAAATTCTGATTGAGTTGGTGTGTCCAAACTTTTGACCATACTTTTCAATTTATTTAAAAATCTGAAGCACATACAGTACTTAGATTTTTACATTTGTTGGTAAGGGTGATCTACAATTCCCTATTTCTCAATGGCGTAAACCCCAGTTTAACAGCAATTCAGTTAACCCCCCTAATCCATTCCAATCCTAGTGTATCCCGAACGGATTTCAAATGGACGTCAGACGCATAAATCCTGTCATTGTGGCCTTCTGAAAGTGAATGACAGGAAAATAAATGATGAAACCGTGTGATATGTGGACTCAGCTGTCTGCTGGTGCGACCGGCTGTGTTAAACAGGGAGTCTCCAGTGGACTGTGATGTTCTGTATAGCGAGCAGCTCCTCATTAATCACCCTGTGAGAGGAAGGCAGGGGAGAACCGTATGGCATTAGTCCTGACGTCAGCACCAGGCATCGGCTGCTATAAATATCCACTGTAAAACTGTGCTCCAGTGAATCCTTAATGTTCTATTAGTGTGTTATTGTGCAGTTGGGGTGCTTGGGAAGGCACATTTGGCAGGTAAAGGGTGATGGGTTGCAGGTGAGAGAATCTCCTCTTCCAGCTGAGAAGTAACCAGTCTGAACATGGCAGGACGGGATAGCACAAATGTGCCAAGCCATGTCATCAGATGTCCCATAGAGAGAATTTAACCCTTCACCAGAGAGATGCATACAATGGATGAACATATCGGATGACCAAAATGAACAATTAAAAAGATAGCTCACCCAAACATAATATCTGTTCATATTGGCCACAAATGTCACAAAAAACAAATTCACTGATAATCTTGTCCTTTTGAGAATCATATCAGCCTCATTCAAGCACACATATTTAACATTTTAAAAGAACTGGTCCAAAGAAATAAGTTGTCTTAAGTCCCCCTGTAGACAATAATTTGATCCCATAATGACGTTTAAACGTTTTTTTCATCTTGAAAAATAGCTCGAATTTAACTCTACACCCTTGCCTTTTATGAATATGCAAATGAGCCCCGCCTCCACTCACTCACACCAGCTCAGAGATCCACTCGTTAATGATCACACGTTGACCTGATTGGGTGACGTGAGAAACACTAGCGATTTCACACCGCAGTTATTGAGACTGTCTTTTGGTTCACCGCAGTTTTAAGGAGAAAATACTCAGTAATGGTGTTGACTCATGAATTTGTACATGGTTTGTCTTAAAGCATATTAAAAACACCACATAGACATGGAAACAACATTAAAAACTTGGTTTTCACCACTGGGGGACATTAACAGACTCATATAGTAAGTCCTCTGAAGAAATAGAAATCAAAATAACCTTTTTTTAAAATGTTGTACTTTAAACTTTTGTGGCCGTTCTCTGAACTAAACTAGTTGAAACAAATTAGATTGATTCGGTTTTCAGGTTAAACTCAGTCTATAGTCTCGATTCAATGGTTTTTGACTTAGTATTGATAACCTGCAATATAGTGCACGGGTTGTTCTGACTACTTTAAGACCCCAAAATACTTTTCGAACACAATCAGGCCGTCGGGATGTTCGCTAACAGCTGGAACGCTATATAACTTGAGTATATCGGGGCTTTATGGTGCTGTTTTTGGGTGAATGTGAGGAGTTTGAACTTAATTAAAAGGGCAAGGAGAGCACGTGCACCAATGAAGCACCTTTTGAGTGAGTGATTAGACAAGACCAGTCTGATCTTATATCAAACTGCCCCCCTCCCCCAGGATAAGACATTAAGATTGGCAGGGCTGTTCTTCCATTAGTCTTATCTGAAAATTGCATGACTAAAGAGTTGAACTGATTCAGCGTGACCCTCACAGATTGAGTGTCAGCCACATTTATTATTCTAATTTACTAAGAGGTGACTTTTACTCTATGACAGACACATTCACCTTTACACGACCTGTCGAGAAATGTTGAACACCCTGGAAATTTCTCCATGGATATAAATTGGTTCTTTTGGAGCTATGACATTTATATGTCATATGAAAGCTCAGATTTTTTTTTTATTCTGAATGTTTTTAATGTTGACAATTCTGTAGAAAATCGTTGTGAAATTTTGTGAATGGGTGCTGTGTGGTTGCTCCCGGTTTTCTAAGTTTTTATCAGGTTACTAGAGCAATCTTAGACCCTGTCCACACTACTGCGTTTTCGTTTTACTATAGACCATTTTGCAAGATGTAAACAAAACTGGTCCAGAAGCACTTCCTCTTTCAGTTTTTTAACACTGCATAAAAGCATAAAATACAACCAACAGAACATATAAAACTGAATCAAAAAGTTAAACAAACATCTTTAAGATTTTTTCTTTACATGTGAAATAAAGAAAACAGTTACAAACTGAAACAGGAAGTGTTTCTGGACCAGTGTTGTTTACATCTTGCAAAATGGTCTATACGCGCACGCAGGGATCTGATTTTTTCACATGGACCGTTGTTCAGGAAGCACAATCCTTTTTTTTTTGTAATGTTGTATTAAGAAGACAAAACAAAAAGGCCAAATGGCCTTTACTATTTAAGTTTGTATTCAACGTTTTACATGTTATGGGCTACATGTAACACGTTTTACAGTAAATTGATTTAACTGTATTGTTATATAATTGTTGGCACTGGCACTTATAAACACTAAATGGGTAAAAATTGCAATAAATAGGCTTAGTTTTGGAGCCAAATGTTGGAGTTGGAATAAATACCTATAAATAAAAGCCAAACACCTTATCATTTTCGTTATACATCATTTGTTTTGGTTGTTTAAAAACACACACAAACAAATTATCCGATTACTCGATTAATCGATCGATTAAGTGCTAGTTTAATCGATTACAAAAAGAATCGATAGCTGCGGCCCTAGCGCCATCGTTTCTAAACTCCTTCATTTTGTCCCGTCTTCACTAAAATGCCCTCCAGAGATTTCTCTGTTTTAGGTCTTCGTTTGTTCCGTTTTAGTCTGGACGGGAGGTGCAAACGTAGCAAAAGGACTCCGTTTTTAAACGAAAACGCAGTAGTGTGGACGGGGCCTTAGTAGATGCTAGATGATTGCTGGCTAAAGTCATAAGAGCCCAGGTTCCTCCTTCAATGCAAGTCTAAAAAATGGTTTATTCCAAATCTTTCTTAACTATCTGTCTATTTTCTCCTGCATGGAAAACAGACTGCAGTCATGCACCTATGCATTTTTTCCTTTCTAATGATGTTGTTTGGAGAGGATTCATTTCTCGCTCCATTCTCTCTCTCTTTCTCTTTCTCCCTCTTTCCTCTGGAGCAAATTCATGTGTAACACAGCAGGCCGAGGTTCATCTCCTCTGAATGAACTCATTACGTCTGAGGTGCGAGACACAGCAGGATTTTTTTTTTTCAGGAGAGTGTCTGTTTCTCCTTACATCAGCTGCCCCCGATGGCTCTCTCGACTTATGGATGTTTTGACCTTTGCACGCCTCCGATCTTTAGCCGGGGCTCGGGGGAGCGTACATAGGTGGACGTCCCATTCTCATCTGGTTCAAACGGCCTGCGCGCCTCCAGTTTTCTTTCGATTATCGTTGCTCTTTTAGCCAAGCTTTCAGCCGTCTCTCTGATAGGTCTGTAGCAGGCAGAGCTCATTTTAGTGGAGAAACCTAATTTTCCAGTTGAGTGCGGCTCCGTTGAGTAGAATGAACTGAGTGAATGAAAGCGAGATTGAGGGAGATCTTACAGGAATGCAGGGAAACAGGACGGCTGGCGAACAGCAGCTGGACAGGTGCCAGTCGGGCTAGTTAGTCCAGCTGGGATTGAGGTTAAAGCTCAAATATAAATCATTTAACTGTGGCATTAAAGGTTAAGTTAACGCAAAATGTCTTTTTAATTTTCTTTCTTGGGTGAATTATCCCTTTAAAGCCAACTGTATCATATTTGAAACAAACATTTGTAAGGCATGATCATTTCAACACAATCTGCATGGCTTCTGTCACTTTTTAGAAAGTAAAAGGCCTTTTGGTATAATTGTAAAATTATTACAGAAATCTTTTTTATTACAGAAAGATTTTTTTTAAGTAAATATAAGAATAACTTTGTTTGTAATATTTCAAGATGGATTGTTAATGGACTGGAGCTGCCTAGGTTTCCTTAATCATCCATATTTTTTGATTATCCATATTAAAAAAAAATCCATATATTATAAAAATCATGTATTAATGTGAGTATTAAAAATGAAAGATCAGGCTTTTGAGGAATGTTTATTTGTACATCTTTCAGTCACCATTCAGCTTCATAAAATCAAAAATCAAATAAAGATCAAAAAACTACGCATTTAAATATCATCTTACTAAGACATTATTGGGCGAGACATGACAACTGATGCATGTGCTTTAAATGCATTTAATATAAGTTGTCTGTTATTTTGTTTTTATTTCTGAACTCATTGATTTAAATTTCAAGCTATCATAATTATATATGGGGTAAATATATGTCAACATTTTTGCTTAGTTTTGGCCTCTGAATAAAATTGAGGCCTTTTTTCCCTCCTCAAGTACGAGCTCCGTATTCTCCTATATCATACTAAATAAAAAATAAAAGCCTGA